ACACACTGGTAGGGACTGGAGCCAACACTAACGCCTGCTGACTGCTCAGGTCTGCCAGGTTCTCCGTTTTCAGGCCGTCAGGGTTGATGCTGTCACCATAGAAACGATGCTCCAGAGCCAATAGCAGAGCCCCGTGCTCTTCAGCCATGTCAACATGGTGACCTGGGAAAACATGGTCAAAGCAGATAAGATTCAGTGTGTAGCAAAGTCTACTTTTTTAACAAGAACTACAACTACAGTATGAGGGGATTTAACGTTTTAAAGGTAAAAAATGTGATGATGCACAACACTATCAACCGCCTACAGGTATGTAAAAGTCATTTTCCCCCATACGGACTGTGAGAAAAAAAATAAGTGTTGCAAATGGCTTTCATAGATATTCTGACTAGATGACATGATGTGTATATGTATTTTATCTATGTTTATAAATTATATGATTTCCTTTGCCTTAAACCTTGTACTACCGATTAGACGATTTGCAGAGCACAACAAAACGGCATGAAGAAGCATGAAGCAGTATTCCCAGCAGAAAGATTGTGAAGAGAGCTAATAATGAAATTCTAGTTAACTAATGGAAACAAGAAATAGATGTAGGGACGATACAGATGGCTGATACTGACAGAAGACAGTATAGCGCACGAAAGATACATTGAAGGTGAAAAAATATGCTTGCAAACAAGTGTCATCTTACAAACACACAATAAATATGATGCTTCACTCAATGTTTCCACTTTCATTTTCAAATCTGTGGAGGTGTGTCTTTGTTCGTTTTCTGTATTTGATTCATTTGAGCAACATGCATCCTACTGCACCTGCCAGAACATCAAACTCAAAGATGGGCCCTTCGCCTCCGATGAAGAGGAATACTGGACCATCAGGACAATGCCAGTACGCCTCATTCACAAAGAACCTCTGCAGGCAGAGAGAAGCAGAGGGAGAAAAAATGAAAGAAAAAAATGTTTTATTCAAGTTCACCCAAAACAGCAGCACGTTCATAGTCTTAGTGTAAGTAATTCCTTTAATTGATGCTGCACTGGACACATTTGCACATTGGCAGCCTCAAATGGCAGTGAGAGCTAAATGAAGCTTAACATTTTAATGCATGCTGTTGGGAAACGTGGTGTTGTCAGTGACTGGTGGAGCTGGGAAGAAGGATTTTGCTCAGTTTAGCTCTCGTCTTTAGAGTTTTCCTCTACAGCAGCACAGTTCAGTGGGACAGGAGACCGTGTTTTGTTTCAGCTCTGTAGAGTGCTGCAGGGATGAGGTATTTTTGTAGCCTAACCCAGAAGTTACCATCGTCCTGGTTCCTTGAACAAAAAGCCAACGGGATTTTTACATTGGATTTTGGATAATTGCAGAAAACAAGCTCTGTGGTGAACAAAGGTTTATGATATTTACAAATGAACACCACTTTTTTGGATTTTTGAAGCATAAATGCAGTTACCAGAAGTAAAAACACTAATGTAGACTGTAAATGAACTACACCAAATACTTCATTGTCACCACCACTAAACTACCAACTTGTAATTAAATTGCGTAATTAAAATCTACAAGTCTGCTGACATATAATTTCATGACAACCCCTCATTTAGCCACTTGTTAGCAACCGCCCTTTTCAAGACACATAAAAGCTTCAGGATTTACAGATTATGCATTTACTGACGTATTTTATGCTGTGAAAATTATGTGATAATCTTTAAGAAGTCCAGTGTGTAGGATTTAGTGGCATCTAGCGGTGTAGTAACAGACTCCCTTGCTTCACCGTCCCCTTCCAAGCACAAAGGAAAAACACAACGATTCCTATAACTTCAATTTGCAGGTGATTATGACACTAAATGAAACATACTTACTGAAATTATTCATAATTGCCATTTTTGCAATAGATCCTCCTAATGTTACACACTGGACCTTTAAGATGAACCTTATTAGACATCTAAACCAAATCCTATGCAAAACACCCACATGACATCAGAAGTTCAAAAAATGCTAACTTATACTAGTGTAGGACTCATTCCTGCAGCACTCCATATTCTCTTTTAAGATGGCATGCTTTTTAATTAGCTTTGCTGCATTGGAAAAACATTCCTCAGAAATAACATACAATGGCAGCTTATTTGATGCTTCCAAGATATTGCCTTTGTGTAGGTTATGAGATTACATAAACCTGTGTAAGATTTCTTTGATCATCACCATAAGTTTTCAAAGTCAAAGGTGCAAATTTCCTATTAAGTCTTAAATGCTAGGCCTTGCTCCGTGCACCCACACTGGGCAGACTTTGAAATGTATGAATATTTAAAGCATTGTTTGATCTTTCTCTACCTGAGGGAAGGTGCTAACGTCTTGTCGGCTGAAGTGGTCCAGCTTCTGGTGAATCCTTCCCTCCTTCACACGTTGGAGAGGCTGATGACCGCTTTCTGTGCGCATCAGGAGATACTGCTTGGCTTTCTGCAGCTGGAGATCACGCACACGCTGCTTGATCTTCCTCAGAATCCGCCCTGGCATTAAAAAAAGAAGTAGCAGGGAAAAGAGAGAATGAGAATTTTCATCAGTTCTTGTCAATCATTTTCAGAGTAATTGCTCAGGCTGTTTTTGAGGAACTCAGTCCTGCGTTATGGGAGCCATACTGACCTGCTGGCCTCCAGGCAGTACCAGAGCTGAGAGGATCCAACCTGCTCTAAGGATCCTCCTATGTGGCTATCAGTTCTTTTTATTAATAAAAACAATCTGCTTATATTTTACCTAGGGGCTTGTGTTCATGTCACTGATGTGATGGCTGACAAAAATACTTAAAACTCCACCAACAAAATGGGTGATCTATTTCAGTAACAGTAAACATCCAGCATTAGATTCTCATGAGATTCACTGTCACATCTACAACACCTGCTTTGTTTTTTGTTCCAGCTCAAATTTGACAACTGCAAGCATAAATAAACTCTACCTGAAATGATGAGCAAAGAATAAAATTACTTTATCGCTTCAGCTTTGACAAATTTGTGCTGGTAGTGTGATTTCTTAACAAATCCTTGCTTTTTTCCCCTATATTATCAAGTTGATCAAGTTGTTGGGACATTTTATAAAATCAAACATAAATCTGTGAGTAAACCCATTATCACATTCTGCAACTCACCAGCATCAACAATGTTCAAGAGCAGTAGAAGGATGAGACCACAGGCTGGGGAGAAAAGCATCTTTACCACCAAATAAGGATGCTTTGGGCTAAATTAAATGCATATCCAATCTGCAGGACTCAGGAGGATGTCCACCGCTCAGCAGCTCCCTATATAGTCCCTGGAGGGGGCTGCAGTGATGAGGTGATCCCTGACATATGGCTGTGGAAACTGATATGACCTGTGCATTATTATAATCTGAATTTGGCACATCATGAGAACAGGGTGAAACTGTGTGTGTGAGTGTGTGTGTATCTACCATATACAAAGTGCTCAGCAAAACAGGGCGTCAGCTCAGTGATGTAATGAGATCTCTCTGCCTCGTAATGGCTTTTTTTGAGTGGTTGACTTACAGGAGCAGTTTTCGACTTTTTCCTCTTTTAATGTGCTGCATCAGTGTGTGCTGTCCCCCCCCACACACACACAGAAGCTTCATTCCAGCAACACTCTCTCAGTTGTTATGCATTTTTGTGTCATTGTGCCAGTTGTGAGAAATGTTAGAATGCTAAAACAAATTATAAATAAGAAAAATATGACAAAGTCTATAAAACTGGAAAGCAGAGTGCTATTTGTGTTCCCTGTAAAAACCAAGTGGCATCCTCTGTAGAGAAGTAACAAAAACTGCAGTTATTCGAACGGCCACCTGAGGCTGGCTACAGAAGTGATCAATCTCCATAAGGCCCTTTATTAAAACGTCCAAATTTACAGTAGAAATAAACATGTTTACACCCAAGTACTGTATAGAGGGTTCATTTTTATATAACCTGTTTAAGTTATATCAAGGCTTCAGGTTATACATAATTAAGTGCACGGATGCTTTGAGTGACAAGTGGGTGTCATCACAGATGGCTGTTTTTAGTAATTTGTATTGGCCCGTTTTTGGATTTTTGTAAGTTTTCAGTCGGGAGATGCTGACAGCCACAATGACTTCATTGGCCACTGGGTTACTTCATGGAGACCACATCCATTTTGTTATTATGGTAAAAGCAGTTAGACAGCTAGGGAAGGACTTGTCACAGTGTTGCTGTTGCTGTTGCACGCTAACAGCAACAGCTGAGGCAGAGCAGCCAGAAGACATCAGAGGAAAAACCAGAAAATATTTTTTTCTCCATCACATATGATCCACCCAAATCAGTGATGAAGTTGTGTGTTTGTGTCGATGGTTTGTGCAGTATGTAGCATTTGTTTTACAGGACACTCAGTTACAATTCAATTTCACTCTATGCATCTTAAAAACAAGACTATACAAAAACACTTCATTAAAACACTTGTAAATGTCTTCTGGTTACATCTGGCAGTTGTGGTAGCTTTCCCTTTCCTCTTCCTCCCAAAAAAACATATTTAAATATTTTCCAATTGACTTACTTAGTGTCACGATTATCATCAGTAGGTCACATCAAATATTGTTTCTGTAACTGTGTCTAACTCTGTGATGACAGTCTACCCACATCCTGACAGGACAAACTTTAGAGCTAAACTGAGAACTATTTCCTCAGAACAGAAACAGTAAAGGCTATAAGCATTTTCTATTCAGATAAAAAGACCTTCGGAAAGTTAAGAAAAGTGATTATTCCTATTGTTTGATGTGGTATCAGTTCATATTAAAGCAGAAAAGTCTCATCTTATCTGAAACATCTCGTAAGTTATGGTGAATGCATTTCCTATTTGCACATCAACATTAGAATTCTATGTCATGTGATACATTAACATAAAAATATTGATAAATGCCCATGTAAGTTCATTTAAATACATAGAATAAATAGCAGTGGTTAAGTAAATTAACATTAAAGCAACATTAGCCAGTAACCTGTAGAAATATATTATATGTATATATATATATATATATATATATATATACATATATATCGCATTCTACGGACAGTTTTTTGGGGGTTTTTGGCACACGTGGCAATTAAACTTGGGTCAAGCAACACCAGATTTCTGTAGCCCATGAATAGCTCATTAGTAGTTGATCGAGCAAAGTACTCAGAACCTTGCCACAGTAACTTACACTGTATAGGTCCCTTTCGCCAAAAATTCATGCTGGCTTATTGTAAGATTCTCACAAAATGAGAATCAAGAACGCTGATCATTTTTTGTCTTAAACAGATTAATTTGAGACTACAAGGACAACACTAAATGTGAAATATACATAAAACATACATCCGTACTAGGCACATATGATTCAAGGAAATGTCTATAAATCTACCGACATTATCGAACCAACAAATTCGCTTCTTTATAACAACAAACATGTCTACTTCCAATTTCTCCTAATTAAACATAACATCTTAAAAACTGCACATATATAAAAGTGCAAGTGATGAGTTATGGTCACAGGTCAGCAGGCAACCGTGCGTCACAGGCATTTGCCACGGATGTTACCATCTCTACACAATCAATCATACTGATTTCTGCACACATTTTTCTCATCTTCTCCTCCTCGAGCTATATTAAAATTGCAGGTTGCGAGAAATAACTAGTGCTGTGTGCGTTCTAAAACTCGCAAAACATTCCGATACGCAACGCAGAGTAAACATTTTGATTGCTCACAGACATGAACACATACACATGGAAGATGGACTTGGAGCAGTCTTAAACTAGTGGTCTTTGGCATGTATGTCTATTGGGTTGTTCGTGTCTGCTTCCAATGCTCTGCTTGTGGTGCATCTGTGTGGATACTCTCTTTTAGCGAAATCGGCTTTCCGCCACCAAGCCTCAAAGTCCCCCAGTGCTTGTCTTCACATAGAGTCAACCGGCAATCTCAGACCCTGGCTGCTCGATCATCTCCCTTGCCTATGAGGGTCTACTTTTACGCTACGAGGTCACCTGGCCACTGGGCACTATCGGCGTGGCCTCTTTGATATCAACTTCTTGGTCCGGCAACAACATCCGCTACAGTCCATCGGTTCCATCACTTTCATCGTATGGATCGGCTCCTGCTGGTGGTTTCCCCTGGAGGTCACGCATCGCCGAAACTCCTCCAACGCTGGCAAGGCTGCCCGTGCTTGTTTGGCTGTGTGTGGTGGTGGTGAACACTCCCAGAGAGCGGAACCTTTCAAAACGTTTAAAAAACTTAACTGAATCAGGCTGCAATGCTACCTGTTTTGAATTTCCTCGCAATTCTAGTCCTTGCGATTCTAGTCAAAGATCACTAATATATTATTTTCAGCCTGTGTTAGTGTTGACCATGCTGACTATCAATGTTGTGTGCACCGCTCTGGTGTATTGGACTCTACGCAAACGTCTCAGTAACTCTGCAAACGTCAACAACAAAGTGAATGTCATGCTGATTTTTGTCATGAACTTGGTTATGTTCACCGTATGTTTCTTGCCTTTGTCGGTTGGTCTAGTTACAGCTGAGAAAACTGTGGTAACGCCCTTGGTATGTCTTGCTGCTGTAAACTGCTGTCTGGATCCACTGTTATATTACTTTTCTCTGGATGCCTTCTGGAAGAAAAAGGAGGATGCAGAGCTTGCAAGAGAACAGTAGACAAAGGACACATATTTTCATGAGATGGCATCAGATTTTCCAATTTTCCTTTTTTTTTCAACAAAAAAGCTTGTTTGGGTGCAAGATGCTAATTTGGCTTCAAGTTTGACACTGTGATGGATTTGATGACAAAACCAACAATGGTCGTCTCTCTTTCATGAAATGTATGTGAAACTAAAAG